CTATGCCTCCAATTTTGCCAGGGAAGGAAAGCCGCTGGAGTCGTATCGTCACCCATATGCCCGGGGGGATTTGCCAATGCAGAAGGAGCACGATGGCTTTGCCTTGGCACGTGTCATGGAGAAGTTTTTGCAGGATGACGAGGCTCGTCAGCAGCTGGTGGCTGCGTTGGAAGAGCTGCAGCTGGATGACGCTGCCACGCTGTGTCAGCAGTGCTCGCTTTTGCCGCTAGACAATGTTGCTGGGCTTGGCAAGGCCACGGGCAGTCCTCGGCGTTAATGTGCCAACCTGGCCCTCTCCTTTTCCAAGTATTCTTGACCCTTGTGCTTTTTTTTTTCCGGCCCATTTTGCGCCAAAGCGACGGCTGTCATCAGTTCATTGTAGTGTCATGCGAGCATGCGTCCCATGCGTCTTTGCCCGAACAGAAGCAGACCGATCAGATCCAAGCTTGCCTATTTTGAACACCATAGGGAAGTTGCAGATCATTAAAACCCCGTCGCTTGGGAGGAAAATTAATGGTGAAACACGACGTTGATTTTCTTCTGTTCTGTTCAAATTCTTTAGCTTTCGGTGCGATGACAGAGAGAGAGAGGGACAAGAGGTGCTTGCTTTGACAAATGGCAGCCAGACTGGTTTGGATTAGGCATTGAGCACGGTTGTTGTACTGGGAAGCAAGAGCATACTGTACCGTTGCTGCCCTGTTCACTCGGTCTGATGCTCTTGTCTATCTGACCCTCTTTTGGGGTTTTCAAGCATTCCATCCTCCGGGAGTAACCAGAAACCAATCCCAATCCCTTGTCTTTTTGTTGTTGTTTGTTTGGCGATGATTGAAAACGCAGGTCATCATGTCATCCTTGTGAATTTCCAAGCACCCGCTGTCACCCGGCAAGCACATCTAGTATGGGAGCCTGGGGCAGATACCCCCGGGGGGGGAAACAAAGTGTAAATTCATCATCAGCGCGCTCTGAATGAATACACGCGCAAGTCAAGTTGCACATTGGCGGTGACATGACGTTTAATTTTGCACAAAAGTGATAGTCTTCTTGCCAACTCGTGGCTGTTCCCCGCCCCATCCTGAAGCAGTCCTTTTGCGCCGCTGCTGTTCGTTGTGATCTTTTGTTGCAGGTCCTTCTTTATCAATCTGCTCTTGTTTGTCAATTGATTTTTGATTTTTGATTTTTTAATTTGGAGAAGAAGCATTTGTTTGTGTTTGATCTGTCTGCCCGTGCCACCAAAAACATGGGCGAGATAGTGCCCGTGCAAGCGCTCCTANTGG